TTCCGCTCGGTGCCAAGCCACGCCCTTCAAATGTTTTTTTTTATCATTTTTTTTTTTTTTTGTTTTTGATTATACTTAATTTTTTGTTTATTCCACCACTATCAATTTTTTTGATTATTCCTTTTCTTTTTCATCTTTCGTCACTCCTATTTTATTTTTTATATCTTTTTTCATCTTTATTTTGTATTTTTCATTTCCCATTTATATTTTTTTATTTTTTCGCTATTTATTTTTTATCTTTTTATTGTTTATCTTTCAACTTCTCTTTTTTTTTTCTTTTTACTTCTTCTCCCTCTTTCTCTTTTCATGTTAAATCTGTCTCCTTGTTTTTCCTCATACACCCACTATTCACACCACTTACGTATACACGGGTTTGACACACAGCCGATGATGCAGATATAAGCTTGGAGCACTTGTTGTCCTGCACTCCTCTGTGATCAAGCCACAGTGGGTGGGGTGAAACGCATCAGTGCGTCTGGGAGGCGTGACAGCTGAGACCATCCTACACATAAGTGAGAATAAGGGAGGTTTGAGTGGTGCCCTTTTCTCTGTCTCCTTCATTGGAACCTAGATCCAAATGCGGATGCCGCTCCCCTGCTATGCCAGTGATTTGACTATTTAGATAATTTTTATTTTTTGCCAGTTTTGGAAACAAAAGGATCCATTTCTTAATGAATTTCACATTCTGAGTTCAAATATAACAATGAAATTTGTCAATTGGCTCTAGTTTTTCTGTAAACGGAAAGTTTTCTACTATAGGCGTAATGACTACATAATGCACAATAATTATATAGATAGATGTCTTTCCACAAATATAAAGCAAGTGATATTGACTACATAACAAAGCCTAAATGGCATAATATATTGCATAGGATTACCAAGAAAAATTATAGCCATAAGCTAAGTTGAATCATTTTAATACTTAGGATTCTCACTAGTTTTGTCTTCAGTTTGTGTCGGTTTTGCTTCTCTTGGCTTTTCTCTTGTATTCGAGGAAAGGGCTATCTCTAACAACTGCACGTGACTACACGCTTCAGGTTCTTCCTCACTTGACTCAACCACGAAGGATTCTGGTGCTTTAGGAATTGGTAGCCCCTCTCCATGAGGAACTGGACGTATTGCCGATGGAATATTTGGATAGTGCATAGATAACTTTTTCTTCTTATTTAGCCCTTTTACAATTGGAGGCACCATACAAAAGTAACAATTACTAACATGATCTGTTGGCTCTCTCCAAATCATTGGCACAGCGAAAGGCATAGATGCCTTTTTTCCATTCAACCATTGCTCCAGTGCCGTCCCACAAGAATTGCAGCATATATGTGGTGCCCAGCTCTTGTCCTGGTCTCCTATCTTGCAGCCAAAATACAAGTTGTAGGCTTTCTTAATCATTCCTGTTATCCTCCTTTTTTGTGAGATAAAAGTTATTTCACCGCAGATATAGCAGAAATTATCTGCTTTATTCACACAAGTTCGAGGCATTACTGAGTAGCCTATATAAGCATAAAACGAAATGTAAAGACGCTGTCGAACTACAATCAGCTACAGATACTGCAGCTTTTATGCAGTGAAGTGATGCAATTAAAGGCTAATATTGCATCATCTCAGTATACATGCAATTTTCTATTGGTCACCAAAACTTTTTACCTGTTGAACAGTGTTATACAGCTTATATCTGTCTGGAGTTTAGCTTTGCTCATCCTCTTCTTTACCCCCAAAAAATACATGTACGCTTTAATACAGGATTCTTCTACTACGTGATGTTTGCTGAACATACTGGTCTTTCTGACTAGAAGGGCTAGCAGTGGCTCTTAAACCTTCATATGGAGCTATGTAAGGTCTGGGAAAAAAAATGAGTCCCTTGTGATTCAACTACTTGTGTGACCTAAATAACAGATTAAACCCTGGCCTATGCACATCGTAGTAGTAAAATTAGTCTAGGGAGTAAAAAAAAAGTAGTAAAAGTGAAATAAAAAGTGAAAAACATAAAATATACTTAAAAATATAACATAAATATGTAAATATGAAATATATATATAAAAAATAGAAATCTATAAAATATAAAGAAACCAAAGTAGTAAAAGTAGTAAAAAAAGAGTAAAAGTAAAATTAAAAAGTAATATATATATATATATATATATATATATATATATATATATATATACACTGTATATAGAGTGAAGGAAATAACCTCTGTGATTGCCAACAAGGGATTTGCCACCAAGTACTAGGTCATGTTTTGTGAAGGGGATCAAATACTTATTTCCCTCATGAACATGCAAATCAGTGCATAATTTGTTAGACATGCATTTCTTTTGAATTTTTTGTTGCTATTCTGTCTCTCAGTGTTACAATACACCTACCATTCAATTTTTAGACTGATCATTTCTTTGTGAGTGGGCAAACATTAAAAATCAGCAGGGGATCAAATACTTATCTCCTTCACTGTATATATATATATATATATATATTATATATGGGGCGGACTGACAACTCATGGGGCCCCCAGGCAATAGGGGATCATGGGGCCCCTGTGTCCTTGCCCAAACTCAAAAAAGCCTATGAAAAAGGTACCAGGGGCATCTCATGGGGCCCCCTACTGACCCCAGGCCCTCGGGCAGTGCCCGAGTTTTCAAATGGTCAGTCCGCCCCGATATATATATATATATATATATATATATATATATATATATATATATATATATATATATATAAAATATTTTTAAAAAGTAGAAAATTTGTAAAAGTAAAAAAATACAAAATATACTGTATATAAAAATATGAAAAATATACTAAAAAATATAAAATGTATTTAAAATATATAAAAATATAAAATACATATATAATATCAAAAAAACAAAAGTAGTACAATTTGTAAAAGCAGTAAAAGAAAAAAAAATAGTAAATAGGTGCTAGAGACTTTAGTTGATTGTGAACTGTGATTATACAATAATTCATATTCATTTGACCAAAACAAGTTCAAGTTTTACGTTTTAATAGTGAATTAGACAAATAAATGAGCAAATATGTGCAAAACACAATTCAGTCTCTTTAAAACGGGCAAAGTATTGACGTTTATGTGTACTCTAAGTGCGCTAGTTTTTAATCAAGTGCCTGTTACTCTTTTGGCCTTCTTGTCAACCCTGAGGAAGCCTTTAAAACATTCCTACACAGCTGGAGGGTTACCGCCACGGCATGTAAAATGTTAATTTCACAGTAATGAGTCCCTTGCGCTGTACTTCAAACAACCTGCTTCTTTCCTATACAGATGTCTTCTGATCAATCACCCGTTTGCCTATCACCCCAACAAGATGAATAATATTAGTGCCCGGCATGTTCTAAGTGTCAGTGTACCTGCTGGGGCAGTTCTCTTCTCCCAAGTCTCCTTACTGCCTATATAAATACATAGAAGCTCCTTGCCAAGCAAAGCCGGCGTTTTCATTGCCAGAATTTCATCGGCCTTATAACACTCTTTTTAAAAGCCACCGGGGAATAGGCATAAGTTTAAAAAGTGGTTTTATTGCAAAAAATGAGGCTTTTACATTGGAAAATTAATTTGCAAGTAAGAAAGCACACATCATATTGACTTTAATTTTCACTGAACATCAAGATTTAGTGAACTGTGAGGTAAATATTGACTGAGACCTTGGCTAATGACTCCTTCTCAGGTCAATAAATCTCTCAGCAATGATTACTATTTATTTAATGCTTCAGCCTACTGACTCTTTCCTATTCACAATCCCGAAAACACACACACACCTGACCTAGCTGCTCAACAGTGAGAACTGAGCTTTGGATACAATAATCCCGTATATTAGCAGATGGGATAAACGTTCGATCGTCGTTGTAATAGATTTTAAATTGAATTCGTGCAAGAGGAGACAGCAAAATCCACCATGGACCTCACATAGGAATCTAGATCTTAAAGTGACATTAAATTATATCCTTATTCTCCAAAAATATTCCTTACACATCTCCTACTTAATGGCCTCAAAATCTATTTTTCATTAAATCAACCATTCTTTAACTGGGTTCCATGGAACCCTAGGTTTCCTCCAAAGGTTGCTAGCGGTTCCTTGAGCTGTGATTGAGTGACATCCCATTTGATGGTGCCTGCATAGTTCTGGGACCAACCTGACTTTGCAGAGTCAATGGCATGAGACCGATGATGTTTTTAGTTATATGTAAGGGTAGCAATCTGACCTCTATTGTGATGTCCCCACCCCACTGACCTCCAACAAATTGGTTTTAGCAGGGGTTTCCAAAAGACCTGAAAATTATATCAAGGGTTCCTCAGGGGTAAAAATGTTGAGAAAGGCTGAATTAAATTGCTACTTACTGTGTTTTTCTGTTCTCTGTGAGCTCCTGAACCTCTCCTTTTCCTGCTTTGTTTGGAACAAACAGTGCACCTAAAAATCCCATAGTCCATATCAAAAGCAAGCAAGGGTGACTATGTTCCTTCTTACAGTGGGACCATGAAGAACAAATTAACAATTTTGATATGGCCTCTCTACTGAAGTCAATCTAACAATCAACTTTTGTCAAATGGAAATGTTGGAAAACATTTGTTGATCAGCAGCTGGTTTTCAAGACAGTATGACAAAGCTAAGATTGTCTTTATCATCATTTTTGTGCCCAATGAAAAAAAATTCTGTCCTTTTAACCAGATCCTGACTGCGTTATAGCCAAAAGATGGCTACAACATGGTCGGCTAGTTCTAGGAGGGAATCCATGGATGTTCTCCCAGAACCACACGCCCCCTAGGGCACACACCGTGCTCGAGCTGTGATCACTGTGTCCTTCAGACACAGCTGATTCCATGTCCAAGTAAAGGGCCAATCAGAGCCACCTTTTACCATGTGATCAGCTGTGTCTAATCACAGCTGCTCACAGTGTAAATAGGAAATGTCAGTTATGGGCAGTCCTCACCTCACACTCACAGCGCATGAAGAGAGGAGAGCCGGTAAGCGGCATTTCTTAGAGGGGACATCTACACTAATCATCAGGGCACTGATCATCAGTGCTCTGATGATCAGTGTAGCCCCATCAGTGCGGCTATCAGTGCCCATCAGTGCTGGCTATTAGTGCAATTCAGCACCAGCTATCAGTGCCCATCAGTGCCGCCTACCAATGCCTATCAGTGCCACCTGTCAGTGCCCATCAGTGCTGCCTATCAATGCTCATTGGTGCCGCCTATCAGTGCCTATGAGTGCGGCATATTGGTGCAGCATCATCAGTGTATCCTCATCATGCCCATCAGTGCCACCTGTCAGTGCCCATCAGTGCAGCCTCATCAGTGAAGGAGAAAAATCACTTATTTACAAAACTTTATAACAAACTAAAAAAACTTTTTTTTTTTCAAAACTTTTTGTCTTTTTTTTTTTAAGCAAAAAATAAAAAACTCTGGTGATTAAATACCACCAAAAGAAAGCTCTATTTGGCTAAAAACAAATTATAAAAATGTAGTTTGGGCACAATGTTGCATGTCCACGCAATTGTCAGTCAAAGTGCAATAGCGCTGAAAGCTGAAAATTGGCCTGGGCAGGAAAGGGGATAAAAGTGCTCAGTAGGCAAGTGGTTAACAATCATACAAGACCAGTCTTTTCAGAGGTGCTATGAGAACTTTCTCTTAAAGATCTGTGGCATGGAAAATGGGTATGAGTCTTTCAAGCCAATGTTCTTTAAGAATTTGATTAACTTGTTGTGTCAAGCACTGAAGAATGAGTGGCCTCAGCTGTAGTATAGGAGCTAATCCATCATTTTAGAAAAGATAGTCCATGACTCATTCAATTTCCTATTATTTCACATTGAAGGACCCCTGATAGAACCCAACAGTCTATCAATTCATTAACATTTTAATGATAAATAGTTTGCTTGGGTTAAACACATGTTAGTATTCATGATGAGTACTAAGCCTCTAAAAACTCAAGAAGACAATGGGCAATTCAAAAGATATGTCTTTCATATGCCCTCCCCCCATTTGCCATATCAGAAGAGTTCCTCTTGTGTAATTGTGTTTTTAAGTAAAATTAATGGCTTACAACATTGGCCCCCTCTAACTGAATAAACCAACACTCATCTATTATTGAATTTCTCCAAAATCTCCAAATTAATTGGTATTGTAGACCTCTGTTTTGGTACGAGAAGAGACCGAAGTTTTGTACTTGAATACTAATATATCAATTTTAAGACATTTATATATTTTCAGATATTTATAAATTTGGTTATTCTACCCCATTAGGTCTTGACTGGGTACAGACATATTTGCAAAGAACCTCATTTCAAGTCATATGTTATTACTGCCTAATTTAAGTCTTTGTTTTCATAAATTAAGTGCGTCACTGTATTTAAAAAGGAAAAAAAAACGCAAGCATAATTGGTCTGCTAATACTGTTCATGACACGTTACCAACCAGTGTTAAAGTTGGTGTAAAGACCTGTATCCAGGGAGTTAGTGGGATGTGTTAAGAGGTGGTGTCATCAGAGTGATAACAGCACTTGTGAATCCTGTACATACTGAAAAGCTAGTGAAAGAATATTCTGACATACAGTGGAAACTCTGGGGAATAAATGCTTCCAGAACAATAGGTTTCTAGCAGGAAAAAGGTCCATGAATAAAGAGGCTTGGAGTGCTACAGCAAAGCCTGGATGAGAAACAGAAGCCATGAACAAGTAAACCATACTCCTGTAAAAGCACTTAATGACACCTTTCTTTCCTTGCGTCTCTAAATTCTCCATTCTTCATCAGCAGTTGATGGAGGAGATCCTACTATCACAGAATGTATAAAACACAAAGAGAAGGATGGGTCATGTTACTACTTATTAACAGCTGAATAAAAAGTTAAAACATCACCAAAAAAACAGTCAGAATAGTCATGTGATCTCTCACCACCAGTCAAATGGAACAGGTCATGGGATTACTCATGAACCAATACCTTAATCTAATTTAAGTTTTTCTTTAAAATGTTATACTGTACATGGTACCTTACCTTCTATGTTCAAATATTACTAAGGAGAAGCAACTGAACACAATCGAAGGGGTCTATTACTGAAGACTGTTTCTGAGATTGTACCATACAAAGGAGTGGCATGTATCTTCTTGCTGATAAATGATTAATACGTAACTCTTTTTGGCAACTGCTAGTACTGCCATGATGAAATCAAAACCTGGCCTCTGTGACTTCAAGGCACACTAAAGAACAGAGGTAAATGAAAGGATTAGAGCATGCCTAAAGCCAAAGCATTTCTTTTTTCGGTTAAGAAGGAAAGGGTAAGGATCACTGTCAAGTTTATATTGCTTATATTGTTTGTTTGCCGCTTGGTAGCTTGACCCTTTCTATTGTCCTGGTTACCAATGTGCTCATCTCTGGAACAGTAGTCAAAAACAAAAATCTTCCAGTGGGGATTACCCTTACTTTGGCGAGATTTTCACTCACGTCTTGTCATGTCTCCAAGACAGGAAATGAAGGGAAATCTCCTTGATGGGACACAGACGGCAAAACAATGATAGTGGCTTTAACCATTCCTACTCTTCTGGTGCCCAACCTGCAGCCTTTGGCACCTATATTGAGACCTTCATGGCCACATGCATACTGTAATCTGTTTTTCTTAGCTAGGCTCTTGGGCCAGTAATATTATTCTTTAGGCTGTGTTCTGAAAGTTAAATGGTTTGGTTAATTTCTCCCACACTATCTTACTTTTGTTGTGTTATCCATCTCTTATCTTTTAATGTATTTTTTTCATTGGAGTGTTTATAATGTGTTCTGCTTGGAGAAATATCAAATGTGGTACCAGTAATATTTAGGAGGGCTGTAGAGAAAACAAATGCAATAGCAATTATATAATTGGAAAGGGGCAGTAATAGCAGTAATCTCTCACATTCTTATGTAATATGTCTCAAGTCTATGTTTTTCTCCTAAAGGAGAAGTATGGCCAAAGCTATTTTGGCTATACATTTCCTGTGGGTCACAGGTGTGCACTTTGTTCTGCACTCCCCTGACCCAGATTCAGCTGTTAGCAGGCTAAAGCTCACTGTCAGCTGGCGTCACTGAGCCGGTCTAGTCTCTGCAGGGATCCCAACAATAATGTGGAGATCCTTCCAGATACCCAACCGTCAGCTGGCTCAGCCTCTCAGCGTGCCACTAGGAGCCTGAGCAAGCTGCTCCCACCCCCTCCACAGCTCAGAACTCCAAAGAGTGCTAGAGGAACAGAGCAGAGAGCTGGAGACTGACAGTGACCACTCTCTGCTCACTGAAGACCGAGCGATCAGCGGTCTTTGATTGCTTGGTTCTCGGTATTAGAGGAGGCAAGGGACAGATGCAGCATTGGACCTATGCTGCATCCACCTAGGTGAGCATGATTGTTTTTTTGAAAACCCACACTTCTCTTTCAAGGCATGTCCCCAGTCTCCAACAACTGCTATATGCTTGTAGAGTCTGACTATGACCTGCAGCATGTCTAAAGTCTTTGATCATCTCTTGACGTAGCATATCTGAAGTCTTTGATAATCCCTGTTGCATGTTTTCAGTCTCTGTCAGCTTTCTGTAGCATTAAATTCACTGAATATTAGGCATGGCCCTTTGATATTGCCAGAGGCTGCACTTGAGACTCCCTATATCATAAAAGCTGACCTCCATTGACCTATTCTATCAAAAAACTAAAATAAAATAATTTTGAGGTTGCAGAAAGCAAGGTACCTTTTAGCATATTTAGTGGCACTGTACCAAGGTTACACGCTGGACATATGTATACAACATGCTCAGAACAGTTCTGAACATTAACCTTAACTCTCAATCATGGGAAGTCCTGTTACAATGACCAAATCCAGATCTCCCTAAACATGAACAGAAGTTGGCAGAGGCTGCATTCCTGGGGGCTAAGCAAATGGTGGCAAATGAATACAAACAACCTACTTATAATTTTTTAGAAGTAAAACAGAATGCCGCCATACTTAATGACATGCATGATAGATTCCTCAAGATCTGGATTTCATGGCTGGACTGAAATAGCCCTCTGAAACATGACTGCTCCCTTCTTACTTTGTAGCTGGACCTTATGGCCAATAGTCGTTTGAACATCTCCTTGTTCATACCTCCCCACTCCCTCCTCTCTGGAACTACTGTCCCTCTCTCTTTTCTACACCCCACTTCCACTCCCCTCCCTCACCTTCTTTTCTCCTCTCCCTTCTTTTATACTGCACAATCTGCGTAGTCTAATAAATATATCCACCCTCCACTTTACACATAATTGTTCCATGATCCATCAAAGAGGAATCCCCGTGAGGGTGTAGGTTTTCCAACTTGTATTTCTTTGATAAGCACCATTAACCATTACCAGGCATAATGATCTTTGATTTGTATTTTGTTTCTTGTTCTCTGTACTTTACACATATTCATATATTTCTACTTGATGCTTACACTAGTTGTCTAACAATCTAAATAAAGAAAAAAAATTGTGAAATAAATAACTAAAAAAGTAAAATTTTGGCTTTGGATACTCTTTATAATGATGAAAATTTCATAGGATCACCCACTAACCCTCATTCATTCATAATCAATGTTATCTTATTCAAAAAGTCTCTAGTTTTGTCCATGGATACTGGTAGATTTCCATTGGCAGTGAATGCAGAAAGATACCTGCCACATTTGTTAAATTTCAGCTTTTCACCCGGTATATGCAGAGCAAGAGGCACACGTTTATTTTCCTATAAAGCAGTACATGGCCAGGAACCTGTCAGCATATGACGATCATCCATCTGAACCTAGCTGAATTAACAATAAAACATAAAAACGGATAAAAGCTTTCAGCTATCACTTTGAGTAGGACAAGAAAAGATCTGTATTCCTAATGTAATGTGTGCTTACACACTGCCTTTAGTCAGATATCTGCTATTTCAAGAGTATAAAAAGTACATCAATATAACCACAGTCATTATATATGTCCTGACTTGGCCAGCAATTTTCAAATTGTTTTGCAATTGTGGCCTATTTGAACAACATATTTTACTGTCCTTGACAGAATAGCTAACAAAATATATAAAACTGTGTGCTATGGATGTGGTATGAATTAAACCTTTGTCAAAAAAGTGAAACTCATAATAGGATAGCTGGTTTTGGTGCAGAGTTCCCAACATATGTAGTATTTGGTGTTGGACTGAATGGATTCATAGCCAATACGTTTGATGGTCAATAGGATAAGTACATCCGTGGTGTATTTGGTGTCAAGCATTACATTAGTAGAGTTAATGGCCGGGTCTCAGGTATAGGGTAAGTATTCTGATTTAGAGGGTTACTTAAGGTTTACGGAAAACTGTTCTAAATTTCACTAAGACTTTACCTGCTTCATACTGGCACATTGAGTCAAAAT